AGGTCAGAGGAGAAACAACGAATGGTGACAGCGAGAGAAAGTTTGCTCACTTTGGGTTTTCCTTGCTATGGGCCGGCATGTGGCAAAGCAAAGGTGGTCAGGGCCTTGGTTTTGCCAAGTTGAAACTTCTTTCTTGTTTGTTGAGCTTCTGGTTTGATCTTGCCAAGGATGATGTTGACATCAGCCATGTGTCTGAGAAAAAAAAGTTGGATTACGCAGGCAATGCCATGCATTTGCCATGTGTTGGATTTGCCTTGCTGTGTGCCATTGTAGCCTTGCGGCCTGTGTCCGGGTCGTGATGGCTGCTGTTTTGACGCTCTACCTACTTGAACTGTGCTGCAGCTGGAAGATGTTTGAAAAAATGTGTGAGCAGGCAGCCTCGCTTTGTCACAGTCATCCAGATTCAAGTCAATGAGCAAGCACATGAGACAGAGTATGACAAATTCATGTAACGTTTACATCATACCGAGCTGTTTTCCATGTCAAACTCATGGCTATCTCATGCCACCCTTCCAAAGCGAAGGGCCAGAAAAGAAAAGTGCACGGCCCTTCTCAAGTGGCCCTGTGGGACACGTCAGGCCTTTTGCAGATGAAGGTGATGAACGGGAACCGAAGCGAAAGAAGAGCCAGCCATTGCCATCTACTCAGCGAAAACCATTTGGCCCTGAGGGGTCTGAGGAAAGCGGAGATGAAGCGTCAGAGTCAGAGTCAGAGGTATGTGGCCCTGGCAGTGATGCTCACACTACGTTTGCCTTGGGTTGGGACACATTGACAAATTTCCAGAAGGCCACAGGGTGGTCCAAACATGAAAAAGAAGAACGCGAAAAGGCAAACGTGAAAAGAGCTCACGACAATTCAAACCGTCTAGCTGCCGCTGAAGCAAACCCAAACTCAAGAAAATCTGGAGTTTTTGCAAGCAGTGGCGCTGATCCTGGGCGTATTGAAGCATTGCTGCATCAAACATGTAAATGTGCCTTGATCAACAATGGTTGTGAGATTCAGATGATTCAGCGTCTGGTAATTTCAGTTTTGGATGTATCATTACTTGGCACTTTGTGTCCTGCAGGTGCCAACAAGAAGTGCTTTCGGCAACTTCAGCCGAAAGAAGTTGTCGCATTTCTGAAGAAATTTTGGGAATTAAAGAAAGCTGAACAAGACCACCTGGTGTGGAACCCAGCAACTGTATACACTCTTCAACACTTGTTTGTTGTCCAGTCTTTGTGTGTGTATGTTCTTGGCATCATCTCAGTTGTGGACGGCCTTTGGTGAGCCTGGGCGTGGTAAAGTCCAAACCTGGAATCTGGCTGGTTTTGAAATCAAAAACCGCTTCGTGGCTGTAATCAGAGAGTGCCATCTTCACATATGTGTCAGATTCAGGATTCAGCATTTGTCTTGGTGGTTAAGGCGCATGTCTTGTGACCCTCCTTGGAATTGGAAAAGGCCGTCTTGCCCGAACAGAGTCAGGTGCCCCTGACATGCGGTGTGGCCCACAAGCACGTGGTAGCACTGTGCAATCTGATTCTGTCCGTGCATTCTTTCACAATGCCTATTCCAAGCTGGGGGAAAGTTTGCCTGACAAATTTGTTCGTCGAAGAAAGAAAAAGGGAAAGCGCGTTGCTGAAAGTGATAGTTCTGATCTGGAAGTGGCCTCGGGCGACGAAGATGGAGGAGATGAAGCGTTGCTGGAGTGGTTGGACCGTGGGTCAAACACTGCAGTACACAATGCTTGTGTCAATGCTGGCACATTGGTGAAGCGCTGGATGCCACCAGGGAATCTGGCTGAACTTTATGACCATTATCAGGTGGTCCAATCTCTCTTGGGTTGCCCTGCTGCATCGCTTCTGGGCATGATTTAAACAAGTGAACACACAACAAGATCAGAATCAACTTCAGAATCATTGTTTGAAATTCACTGTGACCATTTGATTTTGACCTGCAGGTTCAACACCTTTGTCCGTGTGTATGAAGCAGATTGGAAGGATGTCTTGGGGGTTCGGCACAAAACAGAGTTGCTTGCCTATAATTTTGTCGTATATTGGCATGTCAAGCAACAAGTGTCTGTGTGTGTATATGTGTAGTTATATTCAGCCATGATTTTGACTTGCTTGGCTTTTCGTTTTCTCAGGTTCACAATCTGTGATGTTTGTGAGCAGCTAAAGTCCCAGCTGCATGACAGACATGTGCCACTACCCATCAAGTTGGGAGCAGTCACCCAGTATCGCCAACACTTAAGAGATCAATACAGCGATCGGTCCATATCATGGCAATTATGTGATGTTGCCAACACCCGAGAGGGTGAGGTGCTTGTTCTTTGGCTGGATGGCATGGAGCAGGCCAAATTCAGCATACCTAGACACAGAGGACTCAAAACAGCCAGTGCCACGCACAGGCCTCAAAGTTTTGAGTGCGACTAAATGCTTGAATTTGATATTCACATTTGGAATTTGATAATTGCATTTGTTTTTTCTTAGTGATTGGTTGCAAGTGTTGTGGCCAAGGTCACGCTTGCAGAAACCTCGCATGAAACTCCATGGGTGCTGGGCATTCGGGTACACACTGCAGCTGTGCTGCTTGGATGAAACGTCCAAGCATGACAGCGCTTGCATAATAGAGATGTTGGCCAGGACCATCCAACGCGTTACTCATTGGCAAGCTGTTCTGAAAATTTAAGCTTTGAAGATTTTGGCTGACTTTGAGGCTTTTGACATCTGTGACCAAAATCATATTCAAAGACCAAGACACCTTTGTGTGGTTGTTGCTTGGCATCAGAGTCAATGTGTTTGCGTGTGTTGGTGAGAGCAAGCCATGTACAAAAATGTCTGGTTGAGGCCGATAACACGGTTCGTGAAGCAAAGAACAGGTTTACTTTGTCTTGGGTTCACCATCAGATCCAATGTGGCCGCTTTCGAAGCGGAACATTGATGATGCTCCGCAAATCACACACTCATGATCGAATAGGCAGGGCGTCTTTACTTGACTGACTGCCAGTGTCAGTGTTCCTCAATTTATGGAGCGTTGCCTCGTAACGCTGTTGCAGATCAGCTGTGGGGAATCCTCAGCAGAAGATTGGCCAACAGTGACAAGATGCTCACTGATGAGGCGCGTTGTTTTCTGGCACAACATGTGTCTTGTGACGAATGCTTGACTCAGGACATGGTAAGCATTCTGAAAGAGGAGTGCTGCAAACCTGGGCTCAGATCATGGGTTGGAATCAATACAGAGGTACAAGTGAAGAAGGTAAATGTCCTTGGGCTAAATTCATGGTTGCTTCTTGGCGCTTTGCTTTTCTGATGTTGGGAGCCTGGACCAAAACATCTCCAAACTTTGGCTGGCCTTAGGTTTACCATGGTTGGAGAGCAGCTTATGACAAGATCGGCGTGGTCTTGGAGGGAGGGCTGCTTGAAGATTCAAAAGCAAACCATTTTTTCATGGCAGTCCAGCTGAATGGTGACTTGACTTGAATGCCGATTGTGACAGTGTGGTTCTTAAACAAACCTGCTGCTAGCTTTGTGCTGTGTGATGTTTGTTTCACTGAGACCTGCCGTCCCAGCTACAACAGCGAGTTGACAGGGGAAGTTGCAGGGAACCTGTGAGGTCCGATGACGTTGTTTGCATGATTAAAAAATACATCAGTGACCACGAGCTCTCTCAGAGACCCTTGCTGGTTTTCACGAAGAGTCAGGCAGAGAGAATTCCAAGTGTGCCGCCAGACAAACATCCCCCACGGGTAGTGAATGATTCGATGAAGACCACCTGGTTGAAGCTTGCAACTGCGGTGGAACAATACTACGGTGAGTCATACAGGCCTGCTGCTGAATACTTGAGACACCTGGTCAGCGGGGATTTCCACAACAGCACTGACCTGGAGGACATCCCATGGCTTCAGGTTGGTGGACAACGCTTCCAAGGTCAACCTGTGTTCAACTTGCACAAGTGTGTCTTGGACGCTTTGGCGCCAGCTTTGCCGTTGCGGGCAGTGTGGCAGCGTCGCGGTGGCTAAGCGCATCTTGAGAAAAGGACAAGTGGTGGCCCGTGCTGCTTCTGTTTTCTTTGCTAGGCTCAGGAATTTCAGAACACTTCAAAATCACAGTCAGTGTCATTGGATCAATGCTTCATGTCAGGAAGGGAGGCCACCATGTTATATCATATCCATCATCAATATTTATGTCAACCCTAAACCCTAAACCCTAAACCCTAAACTATAAGGCCTAACGCATCGGCAGTAAATTCCTATAGCGCTATAGGATCTGTATTGGGTAAACCATGGAATGCTGAAACCAAAAATCGATGCACGTGAGTCATTTTGTGGGACCAATGGCCCAAAATCGATGCACATCTCATTTGGCAAGGCACCAAAACAGGAAATCGATGCACATGCATGTTACGAGGAACCTCCAAAACAAAAATCGATGCACATAGACATGTTCAGCCTATGGATTTTGAGAAATCGATGTACGTATGTGTGTTATGGCTATGAATTTCAGAAAATCGATGCACATGTCTTGTTCCAGATGCTCAAAATCAAAAAATCGATCTACGAAACCTCGTCATGTACATTGACTTTGCTGCAGTTGTGGCTTTGGTTTGTCATTCACACAGTGCTGTACTGACTCCTAACAGGTTCTCCTTCGAATATGACTTGAGCCCTGTGGGGTACATTGATTTTGCTTAGGTGCACCAGCATAGGTATCAATGTAGCCGCCTAGGTTTGGTGCATTGAGATGTTCACAACGTACAGGTGCAACATTGATTGTTATGTTGACTCTGATTTTGGTTTCCAATGTCTGAGCCATGCGTCCTGAATAGATCAATGTATCCCACCTAGGTTTGTCCATTGACTTTAAAGTTGGCTCTTTGCAGCAAAGTCAATGCACCCGACCTGGGTTCGTATGCTTGTCAAAACCGTCAGAGTCAAAATCGCACTCAGCAGCAGATCTCAGAAGGTTTTGGCTTAGACTCCTGAGAAGTCAGAATCCATCCCTGTCTGGTGCAATGATATCATGGCAATCTCGCCGTGGGCTGCGAAGACAAAGAAGAGTGAGGTCAAGGATGATTCATCAGAGCCATCTGCAAAAGTTCCTTGCACGCAATATGAAAAGCAGCTGAAGAAGATGGAGGGAAACGTTGGTTTGGTGAAGGAGTGGGCATTGTGTAGGCTGCCTGTGTCAATCAGCATTTTCTGATTTGTCTTTGGTTTCTGACTCAGTTGGCAGGAGCTTCTTGGGCACATGGCCTGGATCCGGCAGCAGATTCAGGGCTCCAAGGGTGAAACCGTGGTCCATCCTGGGCAACTGATTCTGAACACCTTGGCATGTGAGAATGCGGAGCTCACAGCTCAATCGTTGGAAGCTTGGTTTCAGGAATACGCATCCAAAAGGGCAGCCATGGGCGTCAATGTGATCTTCAAGGAAGCCAGCAAGACTGCTCCTTGCTTAAACTATGGGCAATCTTATTCTTTGTTTATGGCCTTTGTTGTTTCTGGTGTGTTCCGCTTTTGGTTCGGCTGCTGATTCTTCAGGTGATCGAGAGCACCATGAACAATGATGTGATCAAGGTTCCCATCACGGTCCTGTCGATCCTTGCCAGCTAAGATATCTCCACTTACTGCCAGACTTATTCAGTGCTGTAAATCTTGTCGCTGTTGGTGCAACTTGCTTTTAGCTATTCATTCGTGATGGCTGAGGCAGCAGGTGCCTGACGATGGACTGCCCCTGATTGAAGACATGATCACATGCTGGGAAGGCATGATCTTTGGTGGCCTTGATATTGCCCGTGAACCCATTGATGTTGCAGTGTGGCCCTCAAAACAGTTGAACACGCATGTTGACTTTTCTGATTCTGACAGCTTTGATTTGAAAATGATTGAGGCGGATGTGGCTGCAGGCTGTGCCATTTTCACAAAACCATTTCCACAATCAAAGTCTGATGTTTGCAACTTATCTTGCTTTTGTACCAGAGTCATTGGCTTCAGGACAGGCCATCAAAGTGGCTCCGCTGTCCTTGAAAATCATCAAGGGCTACACAAAGACACAATGTGTGCTGTTCACACTGCTGGCTGCAGCAGATGTGGACCTCAGTGCCCCTGATGCGATGGAGCTATTGAAGCCTCTCTTCCCAGTCTTGGATTATGCGTGGTTGCTCCCGGCACATGTCCCTTAGTGTGAACCATCCATGATCCTTTCACACCCAAATCCATTTTACTTGCAATTTATGGAGTCAAAGTCACCACTTCAGAATCGTTTGGCTTGTGGCCTTGTAGGTGAGGATCAATGTGGATGCCGTCACTTGCAGCTACTTGAACATGGTGCTGAGCTTGCGAGGGGCGGAGCGCCCAAGCTCCAAACTTGCTTCAAATGGCTTTGAGGTTTAGTGCCATCATGCAGGTGCGGGCTGACCAGGGAGTCCACGCGAAGGAGCTCGCAACAGACCAGCGCTTGCGGAAGGTGATTCAAGAGTTCCAAGACACCCCAGGATTTCTGTCGAAATGGGCCCTCGACGAGGACAAAATCATTGGGATCCACAATATCATCACCGGAACTTGTGAAGAAGCTCGGGATTGCATCCGCCAGCATTTGAATGCTGCCAAGTGGGTGCAGAGTGCTTTCAATGTTGAGCTCCTGAGGCGCCCTCGCTGGCTGTTGGGAGCTGGTTTGAAGGGTGTCCCTGATTGCTTCAAGAAGGTGCTCACAGTCAAGCCAGAGTCACAGAGGCTGTTTATGAAGCTTGTGGTGCAGAAGTTCACAGAACGCTCTCGAAAGGTCAGGCCAAATCAGCGGGCCAGAGTCCGTCTGTCATCTGCCGATTGGGACGCTTATGTGAACTATGCTTGTGTGCTTCACAGCGTCATGGAGGAGGCGAAATCCTTGAGCAATAGGAAGAGCTCATGAAGGCCTTCGAGGCTTTGTTCCTTGATTTGCGATTATGTTTTTGCTGACTTTGGTTCCAATGATCCATGTGACTCTGACTGAGTTCTTTTTCATGTTGGGAACATGCTGGTTGACTCTGAAATGAAATAGTATGTAGTGTGTCTTTGACTGACTGAATATTGCTGATGATTGTTGTCCTAGGGACTATTTCGACGAAATCCAAGCGAGCATCAACATCGGGGCCTCTGAGTGGAAGGTCCAAAACCTCTGTTTGTGGTCGGACCTTGTCCAGCCGAAAGAGGCTTTGGTTTCCCTAGCAGGGGCTGCTGTTCAATCAGTGGAAGACTTGGAAGCCGATGTGGATTCTGCTGAGTTTGCAGCGATCCGAACCAAGATTGCGATGCTTTGGCTTAACTTAAAAACATGTGACAACCAAACCAAATGCCAATGTAAACAGAACATTGCTGAATGTTTGGTTGATTTTGAGAGAATCTCAAAGACTCAGGAAGGATTCAACAGAGTGGTGCAAGTACCAAGCACAAAAGACAAAGAGAACTTCCATGCTCCACGTGCTTGAAGTTCAGCATCTCAAAGAGCAACATGCAAAGGGCTTGGAGTTCCTTGTTGACGCGTTATCCTGTATGTGTTTTGTTCGTAGAGTTCTTCCTTTGTGATCCGTTTCTGTTTTCCAGTATTGTTGGTTTATTTGAACTGTGGGTTCTTTTCTTAGTGCTCCTTGTTGATAGTGGTAAAGGTTGCTGTGGTTGTTGTTGCTTAATGTTAGTGTTTGTTGGTACTACTGTGGCAAGCCATGGTTGCGGTTGTGTATTTTCTTTCAGGCTGATTGAGAAGTTCCTGGAGCGCCAGTGCTTCATGGGTGTGGTGCCTGACGTGGGCAACATGCCCAGCTCTGACCAGTTTGTTCGCAAAGCGGTTTTGGAATCCCAGGTGTCTCGCTTGCGTGAGGCACTTGCCAGCTTCTGTTCTACTTCAGATTCACTAGGCTGGAATCCACTTCATATTCTTGGCTTCAGGCGCCTCCAGAGCACATGCACTACGTTGCCTATGTGGACTTCACCAAATTGGGCACTTTCAGCCAACAGAATGTCAACACCCATGCCCAGTGGCTGGCACATGTGCTCAGCAAAAATCCGCTGAGATGCTCGTCAATTGTTTTCTTCGCATTGGAAAAAGTCAGAGTCAAGTGTGCGCTGCGATTCTCAGGATCAATTGGTGTGGTGATCGCGCCTTTGCTGTCAAGTGCCCTGCCTGGCTCATCACTTCGGGGTGATTGCAGGACCAAATTATTTGAATAGCTTTCATCAGAGACAGTTAAACATTGACCAAGCTACTGTACTCCACTGCACTGACAGGAAGATCGAAGACAAACTGCTGCATCACCATTTGGAGCTCAGGCCCCTCCATCTGAACTTGTCCCTGGCTTCTTTGCATGGCAACGCTGAGCAACCAGCGTGTTACACTGCTTGGTTGGTAGTGTGTGACCATGTGCTACCAACCAAAGGCGTGAACTACAGGTTGCCACGTTCGGGACACAAGGACACAGATTCTCCGAGCAAAGTCGCCAAGGATGACACAAATGTGTGCCTTGTCCCAATCTTAAATGCATGTCAATGATTCAGATTTGTTTGCTTTCTGTATCAAAGAGACAGACTGATCACATTCAGAAGGCGTTGCTTCAATACTCATCCTTCTCAAAGTCATAAGAAGGCGTTGTTTCAATACTCATCCTTCTCAAAGTCATAAGAAGGCGTTGCTTCAATACTCATCCTTCTCAAAGTCATAATCATACAAATTAAAATATGTTTTGTTTGGCATTTGACAGGTTTGTGCATTCCACAGCTTGGAAGACCCAGTCCTTCGTTGGCGATCTTCCAGTGGCAATTCCAGAGTCTGAGTACTTGACCCCGCCTGCTGGGTTGCTGTCAAATGATCAAAGGAAAAATTTCACTGACATGCAGGAAACTGCACAGTGGCTTGGGGGGGTCGATGTGGCACGCAAGATTCTGAGCGCCCTGGGCGTGCATGGAACCAGTGTCTTGGCTGCATTTGTCCGATGGAATCTTATTTGATTTCAACACTTGATTCTGATTTTAGGTGATTCTGACCCTGTGTGATTTTGATTATGTGTGATTCTATTCTGGATAGAGGTGGAAAGAAGAGCGTGATCTTTCACAGCACCATGTATGATGGAGCCCTGGAGCGTGCTGCAATTGAAGCCCAGACGCCAGTCTTCTCAGTGTCAGCTGATGCAGTCACACACAAGCTTTCTTGCAAGATAGTCCGCAACACCCTGCTTGAGGGTTGGAAGAAAGGTGAGGCGAAGGGACCAGAGTTCAGTGTGAAATTTGTGGCTGAACCACCAAGCCTTCCTGAGATTACCAAGTTGCCTGAGATGACATTGTGCAAGATCATGGACCACAACACTGTGGCCATTCCGTCGGACATTCGACAGAGGTTTTTGAGGGATCCTCTCAGATCCAAAGAGTGGAAGGAGATCTTGGCTGAATTTGACAAGAAGTTTGAGGCTACCTCACAAGGGCAACCCGCTCAGGCAACCCCAGCAGCTGAGACTGAATCTGGCGCCGGAAAGCCTGAAAGCTCATGGAAAGACATCTTTCCTGACAGCCCCGAAGAGCTCACTGTCTTGGATGCCATGGATGTGTCCTCCACTTTCCCTTTGGGCAGTGGCTCGCTTGTCTGCAAAGTCATTGAAGGGCCACAGTACTTCATCTGCGCGACGACTTCATCAGGAAGCTTTGACACTGCCGAAGCTGTTTTTTTGCACAATGGTGGCACGTGGTTGCTGGACGGCAAGGCAGCAAAGGCCTTGCAGGACAAGTTTTTGGTTTGCGAAGTGTGGTTTTCTTTGTCAGGCGATATTGTGTGGAATTATGTGGTTGCAGGACATCCCTGCAAAAGTGCACCACTGTCAGTTCCACAATGATCTTGTGAAGTGTGTGTTGGAGGACTGCTTTTCCATTGCTGTGCCACTGTGTCATGTTTGGTTTTGTGGTTTCTTGATTGCAGCCACAGGATGAGCATGGGGCTGACAGTCAAGTTCAGAGTCTCAGGGCTTGCTTGCAGCAGATCGAGCGTGATGGTCTCGTGGATTTCAAATTGGGCGGTCATTCCGCAGATCGCCCTGGCCAAGTCTTCAATGGCCACAGTGAAGACATGTCACTGGCAGCAAATTCATGACTTTGATGGTTTGGTGTTTCATGTAGAATGTAGAAGTCATGGACTATATGTCATGGGATGGATTTTTAACATGTGGAAGTTTCAGGCAAAGCTGCAAAAACACAGTTCCTCCAATCAATGTTCATGTTCAACTCAAATTCGACTTGCAATTGCCTGTTACCGCTCCTGCTGTCAGGTTCAATGTCGTGCCCAAGGAGGACAATCCAATGGTTTGGAAACCCAATGCGGTGCAGCTGAGGCAGTTGAAGTACAGCAGCTGCGCAAGCTATGTGGATGCTGAGAAGCTGACAGCATCGCCTGCCTTGGAAGTTGCTGCTTGTTTCAACTGAATTTGAAATTCTGACTTTCAACTTCTGACTGTACTTCTGACTTTCAAGTTCTGACGTTGAAATTGACTATCAATTATGATTCTGAATTTCATATTCTGATTTGTTTCCTTGACTGCGACTTTCTTGGCTGTGTCCCAAACCCTGAATGTGGTTCTGGTTTGTCTGACTGTCAGGTTTGGCGCCTCAGGAAATATGCCAGTGAAGGAGTCATTGCCCCGGCAAAGCCACTTTGGTATCTGCGCCATCCTCTTTTCTTGGAAAAGGGCCAGTGCCAAAGAGTTGTGTAGAGTGGCCCACAAGGAAGTTTTGAATGAAATCCAACAAATGATGTTTGTCAACGCTGCACCTTTGAGCTGTTTGCTGCAGCAAGGATTCAGTGATGCCAGGGCCATTCCACATGTTCAAATCCACTTTTGATTTTGGTGGCCGACCCGCTTTTGCCTTAACCTGCAGTTGGCAACAAGGGTGACTGCTGGTGATTAGAGCTAGTCACATGTGCAGCTGCTGCGGGCCAAAGGAAAATCAAACTCACAGTCAACAAATTCAGTTACTCACAATCAACAAACAACTAACTTTCATTGACGTTACTTAAAGTCAGACCCAGAATCAGAACTTGTTAAATCCAACCTCAACATTCAGCAAATCAGTTTCGATTTCAGGTTTTCCTGTAGGTTTCCTTGTGTGGCTCAAACCTGAGATTTTGGCCGCCAAATGACACAAGTTATTGACTCCGATGACGAAGGAGCTGTTGTGTTTGATTCGGGCAGCCAGCACAGTGGCGGCTTATTCCAGACCATCTCCCACAAAGACAAGCCAAAGGGCGAGTTCATCCCTGATTGGGCGCTTGCAAGGCCAGTCCAGCCTCTAGGTGAGGAGTCCTGTGCCCCAGAGAGCCAGGAAGAAGTCCTAGCTGATGCTGCTTGGAACTGGAATCCTTCTCCAGTCCATGGGCAAAGGACTGAGTCCCAACAACAGGCTGAGGCTGAGTTTGATGCTTTCGGCAACAGCTCCAAACGCAAGTTGGACTTGGACAAGGCAGACGGTTACAATACCCCTTCGCCTCCTCGGAAAGCCCAAGTCATTGAGCTTGAGCGTGGGGACGATGCAATCAAAGACAGTGAGGCAAACAATGATGGCAAGATTGGCGGGCCGAGCAAAGCCGAGTCAGAGTTAGCAGAACTCTTGAAATCCAAGGCTCTCTCTCTGAAGGATGATCCAA